TTTATGTGGTACAAATGCAAAGTGCATGCATTTCTTTAAAGGAATTGAAAAACTTCAAAACTTTGTGTTATTGAATCGATTAAGTACAAATAGCCGCAACACATTTCCAAAACGATAGCGCATAGTACCATGGTAAATGGAGACACTTGTAAGAGTGTAGAAAAGTTATGACTCAAGATGAGATAAATAAAATATAGTTCATGAGCATAGATACCTTGAAAGCTACTGTAACAGAGATCAAGGCCTGGAATTGGAGGAGACATGTAGTAATCAATTGAACTATCCGAACGCTGAAAATCTTCAAATCCGGCTGGGAGTCTTCCATTGATTTCTCTGAACTTCGTGAAAATTGGGGAAATTATATACAACACGATCCTCTCTGCTGTTCAATCCATCCAATTGAGAATACAATAAAGATTAGAGTTTGTTACACCTGGACTGATTAAAGCAAATTGGAGAGAGAGAGAGAGAGAGAGAGAGGGGAGCTCACCGATTATGAACAAAGGGAGAGAGATATACTCAAAATGCACTCCCAATTCATGTAAGCATTTCATCGAACAGCTGTTGTGCACATGCTATTGAATGGGGGAAATAGAAATGGACGGCTACCATCGAAAGCAGCCGACTCAAGAACACGGATGAATGGCAAATAATGCGATAGTGGTGAATCGGAGGTACGTCGTCGGCGCTTGGCTCGACTGGGGAAGAGAGAAGAGCGAAAACTTGCATCGACAATTCTGGAATCCTTAACTGATCGTCAAGGAGGAGAAGAAACGAAGGCAGGGCTTTCTCTTTCTCGTCCGGCGATTTCAGACCCATCGCACCCGAGTGGCGAGCTCCGGTGGTCTACGATGAAGCACCACCGTCTGTCGACCCTTAACAGCAGCAACTTCAACGCCCGTCACCACCATCTCTTGTCGACGGCGAAGCTCCATCGCACCTCTCGACCATTGCGTGACCTCCCGCCAGAGAGATCGACGTTCCCAACTTGCTGACGTGAGATCCGCTGAAACAGCTCCATTGGCGATCTCCGTCGTCGCCGCCGGTAGCAACTGTTGACTCCCGTATTATCAATCGGCGCCGGAAATAGCATCACAGCTCCGACCACTAGGTGTCCAGTCGCCGAACGCATCCTTCCTTGGAGATCGAAGATGTAAGGGCAACATACGTCAACAAGTGGGCCTGTGGGTGCCCTAGTACGTTCAAACAAGAAAATCCTCATTTGGGCCTAATTTCGAGATGAGCTACAAAGAATCCTATTTTGGGCTTCCCCAATCCAGTTTCTGGTTTTATTGGGCTATCCCTACAACACAATAATGACCCAATTTTTAAAGATAAAGTTCAACCATTCTACGCTCGCGTTCCGCAAGCTTCGCCCAACAAAATACGTTTTCAAAATACGTATTGCGGTCCGGAATCGCTCGGCATTCTATAAAAAAAAATTCCTTTTTATATATGTGATTTTCTACCATGCATCGTTTCGTTATATATAATAACTATTATTTGTAGGTTAGCAAACAAAAATAATGCTAAGCTATCGATTATAAAGGTCATTTTTCAGGTTTTTTTTTAGAGTTTTCACCAAAATATAATTTTTTTTTCCAAATACTCATCTTTTTTTTCCTCACACCAAACTAGAGCTTTTTCAAATTGTTAGACTGTTCGGGTTTTTTTTCCCTGCTTTGTAATTAGTTTTTTTGCACTAATGTAGTGGTTTATTGGTTTTAATATTTAACTCATATCCTTTAAACCTGCTTTAATTTTTTTCATACTATATAGTGCTCATGTACTTGTCGACATAGCATCATTGTATTATTGTTTGCGATTACTAACTTTTTTTATAACGGATAAAAATCATTTTAATTTACTCTTTAAATATGACATAAAATTACGACATACATTTTTGTCCGTCGTAAATTATTGATATTTTACCATATATGACATAAATTTTATGACAGACTTTTATGCCTGTCGTAAAAGTGTTGTATGTCGTAATTTGTCTGTCAAGTAAAGCCTTTTTTCTAGTAGTGGATGTCACCTCCTAAGTGAAGTATTTTGAACTAAACGAATTAGTGTCCTTATATGAATACATCAAAGGTATGATGGCATATTTGGTTGATCTTAAATGATCTTAAAGATCACGTATCCGTAAATTATTGAAATTCTGACTTTCATCCAAGGTCGATCCAATCTCATTTGAGACCCAAGACAAAAAGAAAAGAAAGCTCTTTCAGTTATAAAATAAAATAGCCAAATTACATTTTATGTACAAAACTACAAATTATTGCTCGCTTAGGTTTAAAAGAAAATAAACTTTTTAATGGATGCAATAGGACTATTTTTGAATTTTTATAATGCATTGATTTCATCAAGCTCATATTAATAACAAAGTGAAAAATACATTTATAAGAAACTGATTTTACGAGTTTTTAATATTTCCTAACATATATATTGTTAGATCTGGAAACGTATCATTAGATTTGAAAATTTAAAGACTTAAAATTTTTTGGGCTTTTTCTTTTTTAGTCGGGCTTGGCCTTTTAGGTCTAGGTCAGATTTTTTTGTTTATATATTTATAAACGGCCGATCTGTAACATTGTAGCAAAAAAACATGTGTGGAATAAAATCTCTCTTTGGTTCGACAGTGGACGTAGCATATCGCAAGATAGTGTGAACCACTTAAATCCCTGTGTTCTGTACGCTTTAAATTTCGTTTCTGATTTCTCATATTTCTTAGATCTGTTTTTCGTTTATCGTTTTCTTGTATACCTAACAACTGGTATCAAAGCTATGAATGAAGACAGGAAGGTAAAGATCGATAAATTTGAAGGCCATGATTTTGGATTCTGGAAGATGCAGATTGAGGATTACCAATATCAGAAGAAATTACAATTACCGTTATCTAAACAGAAACCTGAGAAGATGGATCTGGCAGAATGGAACTTGTTGGACCGATAGGCCCTTAGCATTGTCAGATTATCACCGGCGAAGAATGTCGTGTACAACATCGTCAATGAGTAGACCACGTTTGGATTGATAAAGGGGATGTCAAACATGTATGAAAAGCCATCCGTAGCAAAGAATGTTTTCTTGATCAAACAATTGGTAAACACGAAGATGAAGGAAGGAGCGTCTGTGACAGACCACGTCAACAAGTTCAACTCGATAATATCTATGTTATGATCTATTGAAACTAAATTTGACGACGAAGTCTAGGCTTTATTATTATTATCTTCGTTGCCCGAAAGATGGGTTGGAATAGTTACCGCAGTCAGTAGTTATTTAGGAACTACGAAACTCACATTCAAAAGCATTAGATATCTTATTATTGGCATAGATGTTCGGAGAAGGAATGCAGGAGAAGGTTCTAAAGATTAAGTATCATAAGGCATCGGGCTTTGAGGAAAGAGAGGTTTAGACCCATTTGGTTGTGGATAATGTAGGTTGTGGGTACCGAGAGTTCGGTTTGTGTTTTGGAGCCCAAGGGTATAATAGTAAAGTGATTGTTCCGGCCTTTCATGAATTAACGATTTAAGTTCGGAATGTTTTAAGACAAAGGAGAGCTTATACGATTGTAGAGCTTCTCGTTACCTTTTTGTGGATATAAGTATCGTCGAAATTGGAGTTAAAACGAGAAGTTATGGCCTTCAGAAGTTAGGAGGTTTTTGCGCTAAGCCGAGTACACTGGGCGTATAGGGTGTACATGGGGCGTATTAGCTTGGATTGATCACTGATTGCTTTGGAGTACGCAGGGCATACTTCCAGTCAGGTGCAAACCCTAATTTAGGGTCTTGGACCCTATTTAAAGGCCTTAACTCATCTTCAAACCCTCTTATCTTCAGCCTCCATCCCCTCTAACCCTAAATACAAAACCCTAGCTTGTTCTTGAGATTTGTTGGTTAACTTTTGGTGCTTTTGTACACTTTAAAGAAGAAGGGGCTTAGTTTTTAAGCATTGGTTGGAGTGAAGCTCCTAGATCCAGAGTCTTCATCAATTTTGCTAGCATCTGAAGGTATAAAGCTCATATCTTGATGACTCTATGTGTTAGATCTAGTCTAGGGATTTGTTTTGGGCATATTATGGTCCCTTGAGTCATCCTTGTGAGTATGATCTACTCCAGGAGCTTAGAATGTTAGATCTTAGTATTTCTGATGATGTTAGTGCATAAAAATGTCATATTGATGGGTTTGGATGAACCATGTAAGGGTTGGTGTTCATATTATGGACTTAGATGGATGAAAATGGGTATGGGGTCCTATTAAGTCATGCAAAGGAGTAAAGTTGCCACCTTTACGTGTTAAGACCTTAAAATGAGGTTAGATATGAGTTTGGACATTTTGGTCTTAAGCATTAAGTGCTTATTATGAGTTTTGGACATCTGGTGAGTATGATGGGCGTACGTATGTGTACACTCAGCGTAACGCACGTATTCCTCGTTTTCAAGATTTGGCGAGTTATACTTTATGCAGCAGCTGGTCGTACGCGGGGCGTACCCATGTGGTACGATGACCGTACTCAATCAAGAGTCATTTGGGCTTTTGATTTTGGGCCACTTTTGGACTCTAGGGTTTTGGGATCTTGTTGGGCCACCAGTATTGTTGAGATAGTCCATTGTTAGGCCTTGGGCCTTTATGGAATTGGGCCTATATCGGGCCTTAAGTGTCTTTTGGTTTTGGGCCATCATTGGGCTTTAAGTGCCATGAGTTTGGGCCACAGTTAATTAGGCCAATTGAGGGGAAGGGTAAAATGGTCTTTTACCCTAGGAGTCGGGTTTAGTAAATTAAAGTCTCGAATATGGATTATGACTCAATTATTGATTTTTTGATAGGTTAGCATAGGGATTCTCCTATCCAGTAGGCCGAGCATCTGTTGGATTTTCAGCGGAATGAGGTGAGTTTTCTCACTATATTGTAGGACACTAGGGATTATATGTGCTTGTAGTATTTGTGACTCCTTTTGTTTGTGTTAGATGCCTATGTGCATGTTTTCTATATGTATGTGGGGTGAAATAGACCTGGTACAGCCTTGTGCTAACATATGAGTTGAAAATGACTCGGGGGTGAAATGGACCCGAGGATGAAATAGACCCGGTATAGCCTTGGTTTGACATATGAGTTGAAATAAACTCGAGGGTGAAATAGACCTGGTATAGCCTTGAGCTGACATATATGTATGGTATGCAGTATTTTGGGGGACTCACTAAGCTTTGTGCTTACGGTTTTGTGGTTATGATTTCAGGTACTTCTGGTTCGAAAGGGAAGGGCCCGACTTGATCACAACGCATCTACCCATGTTTACACAACTTTATGATTTTGGGAATGTACTCTGATAAATATTTTATGATGATATGCTTTTGTATGATTGAAATGGATTCATGGTGTTTATGGTTAAGTTAAAAATGAAAATTTTACCTTATAACTTTTGGGACGTTACAAGTTGGTATCAGAGCCTTGGTTTGAGGGATTCGGGCATACTCTTGGGTGTGTCTGAACTCAAATTGAGGATTTTGTTAGATTTTTCATAAAAGAAATGTTTTGTTAAAGGATTTTGTAATAAAATAAAGGGGTGTGGTGCGTGCAATCAATCGAGTTCAAGTAAGTGATTCCCAGAATACCCATACATTTTTGTTATGTTATATGTTATGAGAATTGTATGCTACATTAGGGCTAAGGATCTGCTCAGGATTTCATGCTAGAAGAGATGCCTTTATATGCCTGATTGTTTGAGCTTTTAGATTCCCATGCTAGTATGGATTTTAGATCATTGGATGGATTGGCCTGATATGTGATGCCTTGTAGCCTAAGAGGAAATAAATGTTA